ACTCCCCAAATGGCCGAAATGGCTGGAGCTGGGCCGATTTGAAGCCAGGAGCCAGGAGCTTCTTCCAGGTCTCCCACGTGGTGCAGGGGCCCAAGGACTTGGGCCATCTTCTCCTGCTTTCCCAGGCCATAGCAGAGAGCTGGATTGGAAGTGGAGCAGCCGGGACTTGAACCAGTGCCCATATGGGATGCTGGCACTGCAGGCAGAGGCTTAACCTACTATGCCACTGAGCTGGGCCCGCACTATTGATTTTATAATCTTATCCCATGTGATCATAGAACATACTTTGTTTTTTATTTATCTCCTTTTAAATTTATTGTGGTTTATTTTATGGTCTATCCTGGAGAATGCTCCATGTCCACTTGAAAAGAATATATTATTCTGTTGTTGAGTGGAGTGTTTTTTTTTTTTAAAGATGTATTTATTTATTTGAAAGTCAGAGTTTGAGAGAGAGGGAAAGACAGAGAGAGAGAAATCTTCCATACACTGGTTCACTCTCCAGATGGCCACACAATGAGGGCTGGGCCAGGCTGAAGCCAGGATCCAGGAGTCAGGAGCTTCATCTGGGTGTCCCACATTGGTGGTGAGGCCCAAGCACTTGGGCCATCTTTTGCTGCTTTCCTAGGCCATTAACAGGGAGCTGGATTGGAAGTGAAGCAACCAGGACACAAATTGGTGCCCTATGGGATGCTGGTGTCACAGGTCAGGGCTTAACAGACTATGCCACAACACCTGCCCCCTGGGTGGAATGTTGTTTTGGGAGTATTTAACAAAAGTTTGGTTAAATGGAATTAGCAGATGTTTAAGTTGGTGCAAAACATTTTGAAACTGATACATTGTTTTAGAATACTATATATTTTCTGTCATCTTTTGTAATACATCATTGTGCATGAATTTAAATAATTTTTACACCAAAATAAACTTATTTCTTAATTCTATTTTCTATGAAATTTCTGAAGGACTCTTGTGTATAAGTCTGTTATGTCTAGTTGGTTTATAGCATTATCTAAGTCTTCTGTTTCCTTGTCGATTTTTGTGTGGTTGTTCTATCCATTACTGGAAATGGAATCTAAAGTCTTCAAATATTATTGAAGAACGATTTTTTATTTCAGATGCCAGTTTTTGTTTAATATATTTTAGAGATCTGTTGTTAGATGCGCATAGCCCCCATCTTGTTTTTATTTTGAAATCTCTTCTGTTTGATGTTAGTATAGTCACTCTAGCTTTCTTGTTGCTATTTGCATGATATATTTGCCATTTTTTATCTTCAATTGATTTGAACCTTCGAATTTATGGTGTATCTCTTGTATACAGCATATAGTTGTACCATTTAAAAAAATCTAGGTCATATTTAGTCTTTTTATCAGATTATTTAATCTGTTCACATTTGTTACTATTGATGTAGTTGAATTTGTGTCTGTCATTTTACTTAATTTTTTAAATTTTTTAAAATTTTTAAAAGATTTATTTGTTTCCTTGAGAGCGAGGTCTTCCATCCACTGGTTGACTCCCCAATTGGCCTCAATGGCCAGAGCTGTGCCGATCCGAAGCCAGGAGCCAGGAGCTTCTTCCGGGTCTCCCATGTGGGTGCAGGGGCCCAAGGACTTGGGCCATCTTCTACTGCTTTCCCAGGCCATAGCAGAGAGCTGGATCAGAAGTGAAGCAACTGGGACTCGAACCGGTGCCCATATGGGATTCAGGAACTGCAGGCGGCTGCTTTACCCACTATGCGATAGCGCTGGTCCCCTGTCATTTTATTTTTTCTCTTCTATATATCTTTATTTTTTGGTTGCCCTATTCCCCATTTCTCATTTTGTTTTTCAGTAAGTGAATATTCTCTGATGTAGCACTTGAATTTCTACTACTATATTTTCACCAAAGTTTTAGAATTTTTGTGTGGTTTAAAGGTTTACTGTATACATCATAACTTGCCAGAGTCATCTTCAGAGTTAAACTAGCTTAATTCCAGTGATACATAGAAACATTACTAAATTTTATTTCTTTGTTTGGTATTGTTGATATTCATATTACATTTGTTAATGTTACACCCCCCAATATATTGTTACAATGATTGCTTTATCATATATATTTCAGTAGCCTAATGTGATTTTGCTCTCACCCACCATTTTTGTGTCATTTCTGGCAAATATACTCATATTGCATTTTGTATGTTTTAGCCCACAAAATACACTTACATACATATTTTATACAATTGTTTTTTTAATCAGTTAAGAGAAAAAGGCGGGGGGCGGCGCCATGGCTCACTTGGTTAATCCTCCACCTGCAGTGCCGGCATCCCATATGGGCACCAAGTTCTAGTCCCTGTTGCTCCTCTTCCAGTCCAGCTCTCTGCTGTGGCCCTGGAGGGCAGTGGAGGATGGCCTACATGCTTGGGCCCCTGCACCCGCATGGGAGACCAGGAGGAGGCGCCTGGCTCCTGGCTTCAGATCGGCGTGGTTCCAGCCATACCGGCCATCTGGGGGGTGAACCAATGGAAGGAAGACCTTTCTGTCTCTCTCACTGTCTAACTCTACCTGTCAAATAAAAAAAAAGAAAAAAGGAGAAAATATACATTTATACAGTCATTTATAATTATATAACTACCTTTACTGGTGCTCTCTGCTTTGTGTTATCTGTGGATTTGAATTACTGTCTGGGGGTCACTTGGTTTCAATCTAAAGAATTTCTTTCTTCATTATGTTTTGTAAGGTAGATGTGCTAGTAACAAAGCTTCCAGGTTCCACTTGTTTATCTTTATTCAGTTTCCTTTCCTAAAAGGTATCTTTGCTGGAAATGGAATTATTCATAGAAAGCTTTTTCTTTGATCACTTTGAATATATTATCATAACTGTCGTTGGCTTCTATTGCTTCTGGTGACAAGTAATGGTTAACCTCACTGCTTTTTTTTTCTTTCTGCTTTTAAGATTTTTCTCTTTGTCTTTGTCTTTTAACATGTTTTCTACCATGTGTCCATGGAGCTCTTCATTTTTTAAAATTTTATTTATTTATTTATTTATTTATTTATTGGCAGGCAGAGTGGACAGTGAAAGAGAGAGACAGAGAGAAAGGTCTTCCTTTTCTGTTGGTTCACCCCACAATGGCCACTGTGGCCGGTGTGCTGCGACTGGCGCACTGCGCTGATCCGATGGCAGGAGCCAGGAGCCAGGTGCTTCCTCCTGGTCTCCCATGCGGGTGCAGGGCCCAAGCACTTGGACCATCCTCCACTGCACTCCCTGGCCACAGCAGAGAGCTGGACTGGAAGAGGGGCAACCGGGACAGAATCCAGTGCCCTGACCAAGACTAGAACCTGGGGTGCCAGCGCCACAGACGGAGGATTAGCCTATTGAGCTGCGGCACTGGCCGGATCTCTTCATTTTTATCTTACTTGAAGCTCATTGAGTTTCCTGCATATGTAGATTATTGTTTTTCAATAATTTTAAGAAGTTTTCCACTATTATTTCTTCAGATATTTTTTTCTAGTCTTCTCTGTCCTTTGGCTACTCCCATTTTACATATGTTGGTGCACTTGTTGGTGTCTTATATTTCTCTGATGTCCTGTTTATTTCTCGTCATTCTTTTTCTCTGTTTTTTGGCTTTCCTTTGGTTATGTGAACATATTTACAATGTCTATTTTGGAGCTTGTTAAGCTGCTGATGTTGCTCATTAAGGAGGTAAAGCTTTGGATACACCCACAATCACCCTGAAATGACAATGCTACTGGTAGAACTTTTTCCTGATCACGTCCATCTGTTAAACTCTGCTGGCTATTTTATTGTTTTCAATAAATTCTTGGAGGAAAAAATTGTTCTAAAAATTAACGCAATCAAACTGTGACTCCTCTGAAAGTTCCTGAAATTCATGGTTGTTATTTGTTCTGACCCCAAGAAGTCTCCACCCAGCTGTCTTGTTTCTGGTTCTGTCCCCAGTACATTTTATCACAGCCTCCACTGTTCTTGAGTGTGCCCTTAGATTTTAATTTCTCCATTCCCTATTGTGAATGAAATCAGTCCCATTGGGAAGAGGTTAGGAGGTATCTTCTTTTTTTTTAAGATTTATTTATTTATTTGAAAGTCAGAGTTACACAGAGAGAACAGGAGAGGCAGAGAGAGAGAGAGAGGTCTTCCATGTGCTGGTTAACTCCCCAATTGGCCACGATAGCTGGATCTGCGCTAATCCGAAGCCAGGAGCCAGGAGTTTCTTCCTGCTCTTCCATGCAGGTGCAGGGGCCCAAGGACTTGGGCCATCTTCTGTTGATTTCCCGGGCCACAGCAGAGAGCTGAATAGGAAGTGTAGCAGCCAGATCTCAAACCGGTACCCATATGAGATGCAGACACTGCAGGCGGTGGCTATACCAGCTACGCCACAGTACTGGCCCCAGGAGGTATCTTCTTAATGGCTATATTCTCTCTCCAGGCAAAAATTTAGCCAGGACTCGGGAGCTTGGGCTGAGGATAATGGCAAGTATCTCTCTGAATAAAGTCCCCACTCTAGGATCTGAGCAATCAGGGCAGGGTATGAGACTGGGAAAGGGCTATCAGGGCCCGAGTCTTCTCAGCACATTGAGCCTTCGTCCCATGAATAGAGTTTGGGTGGAAGAAGAGGACTCCCTTTTCTCAACTGCAATCATCTGGGATTCAGTCTCAGCAACACATAGCTAGGTAATGGTTGAGAAAAGGGGAGAGAGACCTGCAGCAATCTAGAGTGGGGTCTACCTTGCTGAGTGGGGGAGGTGAAATGGTGAGTGTACTCTTTTTTCTTTTTTTTTCAAATAATTTTTTTTACACAATGTACTCATTTATTAATATTTTCAATGCTCTCTTTAAAATTTAATCTTAGAATAATCTGCCATGACAACTAATCAGAGCAATTTAATACTGCCATAGAAGAAGACATTAAAACCTATTATTTAACAATGTTTATTTTAATCTATAAACCTCTTTATTTACTTGAGAGGCATAGTTACAGACAGAGAAAGGGAGAGACAGAGAAAGAGGTCTTCCATCCGCTGGTTCACTCCCCAAATGGTCGCAACGGCCAGAGCTGATCTGATCCGAAGCCAGGAGCCAGGAAGTTTTTTGGGATCTCCTACGCAGGGGCCAGGACCCAAGGTGCTTGGGCCATCTTCTACTGCCTTCCCAGGCCATAGCAGAGAGCTGGATAGGAAGTGGAGCAGCCAGGATTTGAACCAGCTCACATATAGGATGCTGGCACTGCAGGTGGCGGCTTTACCCACTACGCCACAGTGCTGGCCCTGTACTCTTATTTCAAACACCACAGTTTCTTGTCTTTCTTCTCAAATTTTAATAGATTTTCTTTATTTGCTGCTTGTCATTACAACCACCTCCAGAAACTTTAAATCATTGTTTAAAAAATAATTTTCATTAATTTCAATGGGAGTAAATCTGCTCTGTCTTACTCATTTGTAGCACCTCTTTGTATAGAAGAAATATTAATCATTTGTCTGTCACATGGGTTATAAATATTTTCTCCAAGTAGAAAGTATATCTTGATTTTCAAATTATGATCTTGGTTTAAATATTAACAATACCTTAAATTTTGCTCAGTTAAGTGTGATTTTTTTTTTTTTGACAGGCAGAGTGGACAGTGAGAGAGAGAGACAGAAAGGTCTTCCTTTTCCGTTGGTTCACCCTCCAATAGCCGCTGCGGCCGGTGCGCTGTGGCTGGCACACCGTACCAATCCGAAGCCAGGAGCCAGGTGCTTCTCCTGGTCTCCCATGTGTGGGTGCAGGACCCAAGCACTTGGGCCATCCTCCACTGCACTCCCGGGTCACAGCAGAGAGCTGGCCTGGAAGAGGAGCAACCGGGACAGAATCCGGTGCCCCAACCGGGACTAGAACCCGGTGTGCCGGCGCTGTAAGGCAGAGGATTAGCCTAGTGAGCCGTGGCGCCGGCCTTCTTTTTTTCTGAAAGATTTATTTACTTTACTTGAAAGTCACAGTTATACAGAGAGAGAAGGAGAGACAGAGAGAGACAAGAGAGAGGTGTTCCATATGCTGGTTCACTCCCCAGTTGGCTGCAATGGCGGGAGCTGTGCCGATCCGAAGCCAGGAGCCAGGAGCTTCTTCCAGGTCTCCCATGCGGGTGCAGGGGCCCAAGGACTTGGGCCATCTTCTACTGCTTTCCCAGACCATAGCAAAGAGCTGGATCAGAAGTGGAGCAGCCAGGACTGGAACCAGCACCCATATGGGATTCAGGCATTGCAGGTGGCGACTTCACCCACTATGCCACAGCACCGGCCCCAAGTGTGAAATTTCTTTATGCTTATGATTCTTAGTGTTACTGTGCCACTTAACTTTTTTTCAAATTAATAATAATTATTTCTTGCCATTCTATGAGTCTGCTCTGTATCCTGCTTCCCATGTAGGATCATTCTCTTCCATATGCCTCCATTTTGTCACAAATGAAGAGATTTCATTTTTTACTGCTGTATAGTATTCTATAGAGTACATATTCCATAATTTCTTTATCCAGTCTTCTGTTGATGGGCATTTAGGTTGGTTCCAGGTCTTAGCTATTGTGAATTGAGCTGCAATAAACATTAAGGTGCAGACAGCTCTTTTATTTGCCAATTTAATTTCCTTTGGGTAAATTCCAAGGAGTGGGATGGCTGGGTTGTATGGTAGGGTTATATTCAGGTTTCTGAGGAATCTCTAAACTGACTTCCATAGTGGCTTTACCAGTGTGCATTCCCACCAACAGTGGGTTAGTGTCCCTCTTTCCCCACATCCTCGCCAGCATCTATTGTTGGTAGATTTCTGAATGTGAGCCATTCTAACTGGTGTGAGGTGAAACCTCATTGTGGTTTTGATTTGCATTTCCCTGATGGCTAGTGATCCTGAACATTTTTTCATGTGTCTGTTGGCCATTTGGATTTCCTCTTTTGCAAAATGTCTATTGAGGTCCTTGGCCCATCTGTTAAGTGGGTTGTTTGTTTTGTTTTTGTGGAGTTTCTTGATCTCTTTGTAGATTCTGGTTATTAACCCTTTATCTGTTGCATAGTTTGCAAATATTTTTTCCCATTCTGTCGGTTGCCTCTTCAATTTCCTGACTGTATCTTTTGAAGTACAGAAACTTCTCTATTTGATGTAATCCCAATTGTTAATTTTTGCTTTGATTGCCTGTGCCTCCAAGGTCATTTCCAAGAAGTCTTTGCCTGTGCCTATATCTTGCGGGTTTCTCTGATTTTCTCTAAAAATTTGTTGGTGTCAGGTCGTAGATTTAGATCTTTAATCCATGTTGAGTGGATTTTTGTGTAAGGTGTAAGGTAGGGGTCTTGCTTCATGCTTCTGCATGTGGAGATCCAGTTTTCCCAGCACCATTTATTGAATAGACTGTCCTTGCTCCAGGAATTGGTTTTAGATCCTTGATCAAATATGAGTTGGCTGTAGATGTTTGGGTTGATTTCTGGTGTTTAAATTCTGTTCCATTGGTCTATCCATCTGTTTCTGTACCAGTGCCATGCTGTTTTGATTACAACTGCCCTGTAGTATGTCCTGAAATCTGGTATTGTGATGCCTCCGGCTTTGTTTTTGTTGTACAAGATTGCTTTAGCTATTCAAGGTCTCCTGTGCTTGCATATTAATTTCAGCATCATTTTTTCCAGATCTGAGAAGAAGGTCTTTGGTATTTTGATTGGTATCACATTGAATCTATAAATTGCTTTTGGGAGAATGGACATTTTGATGATGATATTGATTCTTCCAATCCATGAGCATGGAAGATTTTTCCATTTTTTGATATTCTCTTCTATTTCTTTCTTTAAGATTTTGTAATTCTCATCGTAGAGATCTTTAACGTCCTTGGTTAAGTTTATTCCAAGGTATTTGATTGTTTTTGTAGCTATTGTGAATGGGATTGATCTTAGAAGTTCTTTCTCAGCCGTGGCATTGCCTGTGTATACAAAAGCTGTTGATTTTTGTGCATTGATTTTATATCCTGCTACTTTGCCAAACTCTTCTATGAGTTCCAATAGTCTCTTAGTAGAGTTCTTTGGATCCCCTAAATAAGGAATCATATCATCTGCAAAGAGGGATAGTTTGACTTCTTCTTCCCAATTTGTATCCCTTTAATTTCTTTGTCTTGCCTAATGGCTCTGGCTAAAACTTCCATAACTATATTAAATAGCAGTGATGAGAGTGGGCATCCCTGTCTGGTACCAGATCTCAGTGGAAATGCTTCCAAGTTTTCCCCATTCAATAGGATGTTGGCTGTGGGTTTTTCATAGACTGCTTTGATTGTATTGAGGAATGTACCTTCCATACCCAGTTTGCTTAGAGTTTTCAACATGAAAAGTGTTGTATTTTATCAAATGCTTTCTCGGCATCTATTGAGATAATCCTATGGTTTTTCTTCTGCAGTCTGTTAATGTGGTGTATCACATTGATTGTCTTGCGCACATTAAACCATCCCTGCATACCAGGGATAAATCCCACTTGGTCTGGGTGGATGATCTTTCTGATGTGTTGTTGCATTCTATTGGCGAGAATTTTATTGAGGCTTTTTGCGTCTATGTTCATCAGGGATATTGGTCTGTAATTCTCTTTCAATGCTGCATCTTTTTCAGGTTTAGGAATTAAGGTGATACTGGCTTCATATAAAGAATTTGGGAGGATTCCCTCTTTTTTGATTGTTCTGAACAGTTTGCGAAGAATTGGAGTTAGTTCTTCTTTAAATGTCTGGTAGAATTCAGCAGTGAATCCATCCAGTCCTGGGCTTTTCTTTGTTGGGAGGGCCTTTATTACTGATTTCAATTTCTGTCTCATTTATGGGTCTGTTTAGGTTTTCTATGTCTTCATGGTTCAACTTAGGTAGGTTCCATGTGTCCAGGAATCTATCCATTTCTGATAGATTTCTCTGTTTGCTGGCATACAACTCTTTGTAGTAATTTCTGATGATTCTTTTTATTTCTGTGGTGTCTGTTATTACATTCCCTTTTTCATCTCTGATTTTATTGGTTTGGGTCTTTCCTCTTCTTTTTTTAGTTAGTTGGGCCAATGGGGTGTCAATTTTGTTTATTTTCTCAAAAAACCAGCTCTTCATTTTTTCAAAAAACCATCTGATCTTTTGTAATGTTTTTCGATTCAATTCTGTTGATTTCTTCTCTGATTTTAATTATTTCTTTTCTCCTACTAGTTTTGGGTCTGGTTTGTTGCAGTTTTTCTAGATCCTTGAGATGCACTGAAAGCGTATTTATGTGGTGCCTTTCCAATTTCTTGATGCAGGCACCTATTGCTATAAACTTTCCTCTCAAAACTGTTTTTGCTGTCTCCCATAAGTTTTGTTATGTGTGTTGTTACCCTCATTTACTTCCAGAAAGTTTTTGATTTCTCTTTTGATTTCTTCTATGACCCATTGTTCATTCAGGTGCATGTTGTTCAGTCTCCATGTGTTTGCATATGCTCTAGGGATTCCTGAGTTGCTAATTTCCAGCTTCATTCCATGGTGGTCTGAGACGCTGCATGGTATGGTTCCAATTCTTTTTTTTAATTTTTTTTGACATGGACAAATACAAACACTTTATTATAGTAATATATAAAACAAATGTAATTATAAATGTTCATAACCACATTATACATCATGATTGGCAGTGTCATTGAGCTCACTCAAATTTGGAGGAATTCACAATTCTTGAAACTTACTGAACTTTTTTCATAAAGACAAGATCAAAATATATGTACATATTTCAAGAGTATATACATTTCTACTCCTCACTTCATAAATTCAGCATTTTCCTACACTCTCAGAGTTAAACAGGTTCATCTTTTTGTTACTCAAAGAACCAAAGTTATATTTGCCAGTGGCAACATTCTTAGAAATTAATGAATAATAAGTGAAAGATCAGATGGATTTCTTACCTAGTTTCTTTCTCTTTTAGAGCAAAAAGAACTTTCACCTTTAGCCCAATCCCTGAAGACTGATAATATCCTTCCAACAACCATTGCGAAAACACACTAAACAGCCATCTCCATTTTAATAGTTGGATGTGGGTTGTACCCTTCAATCTGAAAATCTTCAGCTTTGAAATCATCAATCGTCTCAACTTTTCGAAGAATTTTGAGCTTCGGGAAAGGTCTTGGTTCTCGCTGAAGCTGAGTTTTCAGAGGCTCAATGTGGTTCAGGTAAATATGGGCATCTCCCAAAGTATGTACAAAATCACCTGGCTTCAGGCCGGTGACATGCACGATCATGTAGGTGAGCAAGGCATAGCTGGCGATGTTGAAGGGCACGCCCAGGCTCATGTCTCCCGACCTTTGGTACAGCTGGCAGGACAGCTCCCCATTCACCACGTAGAACTGGCAGAGGGCATGGCATGGGGGCAGCGCCATCAGAGGAAGGTCTTTGGGATTTCAGGCACACATGATGATTCTTCTGTCATCAGGGTTGGTTTTGATGGTATCGATCACTTTCTGCAGTTGGTCTACTCCTTGACCTGAATAATCTGAGTCCTTATCTTTGTATTCTGCACCAAAATGCCTCCACTGGAAGCCATAAACTGGACCCAGGTCCCCTTCTTGTCTGGTGGAGAATCCCAGTCTGTCCAAAAAGTCTCGGGATGCATTGGCATCCCAGATTTTCACTCCCTTGGAAGACAGTTCTTTAGCATTTGTGGATCCCTTGATAAACCACAGCAACTCCTCCAAGACACCCTTCCAGAATACACGTTTGGTTGTCAGCAGAGGAAATTCATCTCTCAGGCTGTAGCACACCTGCATGCCGAACACCGACAGGGTGCCGGTGCCCGTGCGGTCCTCCTTCCTGAAGCCGCAGCGCAGGATGTGCTTGATCTGCCCCAGGTACTGCAGCTCCCTGTGGGGTGGCCGCGCCTCGGCGCCCTGCTCCTGCGCTGTGGGCGGCGACGGCAGCTCAGAGCTGGCGGCGGGCATGGCGCGGGCGGCCTGGCAGCGGAGACGGCGGAGACGCGGCTTGTTGGTGGGCTAAGGTGGGCTCAGCCTGGTTCCAAATCTTTTGAATTTGCTGAGACTTGCTTTATGGCCTAGTATGTGGTCAATCCTTGAGTAGGTTCCATGCACTGCTGAGAAGAATGTAAAGTCTTTAGATGTAGGATTGAAAGTTCTGTAGATATCTGTTAGATCCATCTGGGCTATAGTGTCGATTAAATCTGCTGTTTCCTTGTTGATCTTCTGTCCTGTTGATGTCTATTTCTGAGAGTGGAGTATTGAAGTCCCCCAGTACTATTGTATTGGGGTCTAAGTCTCCCTTTAAGTCCCTTAACAAATCTTTTAAATAAACCGGTGCCCTGTGATTAGGTGCATATACATTGATAATAATTACATCTTCCTGTTGAATTGGTCCCTTAATCATTATATAGTGCCCCCCTTTGTCTCTCTTAACAGTTTTTGTGTTACAATTTATTTTGTCTGATATTAAGATGGCTACACCAGCTTTTTCTGGTTTCTGTTGGCATGTTATATCTTTTTCCAGGCTCTCACTTTCAGTCTGCATGCATCTTTGTTGGAAGATGTGCTTCTTGTAAGCATCAAATAGATGGGTTTTGCTCCTTATTCCATTCAGCCAGTCTGTGTCTTTTAACTGGAGAGTTGAGGCCATTAACATTCAGTGTGACTAGTGATAAGTAGGAACTTTGACCTGCCATTTTCCCATAGATATTTCTAATAAATGCTTTGAACTTCGTGTGATCTTTTACTGGGAGGTTTTCTTCCTTTACCTTCTTTCATACCTTGATGGCCGTGTTTCTGTGTTTCTGTGTGTAACACATCTTTAAGCATCTTTTGCAGGGCTGGATGGGTGGTGACAAATTCTTTCAATTTCTGTTTGCTATGAAAGGTCTTTAATTTACTTTCATTCACAAATGATAGCTTTGCAGGATATAATATTCTGGGCTGGCAGTTTTCCTCTCTTAGCACCTGTGCTATGTCTCACCATTCCCTCCTAGCCTGTAGTGTTTCTGATGAGAAGTCAGCTGTGAGTCTGATTGGAGATCCTCTGAGAGTAATCTGACGTTTCTCTCTTGCACATTTTAGGATCTTTTCTTTATGTTTCACTGTGGTGAGTTTGATTACAAGGTGTCGTGGTGAGGATCTCTTTTGGTCATGTTTATTGGGGGTTCTATGTGCTTCCTGGACTAGGATTTCTCTGTCCTTCTCCAAACCTGGGAAATTTTCTGCTAATATCTCACTAAAAAGGCCTTCTAATCCTTTCTCCCTCTCCATGCCTTCAGGAACTCCTAGAACCCGAATGTTGGGTTTTTAATAGTGTCCTGTAGATTCTTAACAATATTTTTTAGATTTCTAATTTCCTCTTCTTTTCTTTGGTTTGACTGTATACTTTCCTGTGCTCTGTCTTCTAAGTCCAATATTCTCTCTTCTATCTCACTGATTCTGTTTTTAAGGCTCTCAAATACATTTGTCATTTGTTCCATTGAATTCTTCATTTCATTTTGATTTCTCTTCAATATCACAATTTCATGTTCTACTATAATCCTCATTTCATTTTGATTCCTCCTTAAGATTTCATTTTCCTGAGAGAGATTTTCTATCCTGTCCAGTAAGGATTTCTGTAGTTCAAGAATTTGTTTTTGAGAACATATGCTCTTATCATAAATTTTTTGAAATCTGTATCTTGCATTTCTTCTATCTCATCATCTTCACAATCTTGTATTGGAGTGTCATGTTCATTTGGGGGCATCATAATATCTTCCTTGTTCTTGTTTCCTTGGTTTCTGCGTTTATTGTTTGGCATTGTGGAGATACTCTTTGGTGTCTTCTTTTCTATACTATGACTCTAGATTAAGTGCCTGCTTTTGGTGAATCTCTAGAGGCTTGTGGTGGGTGCTCTGTTCAGTTCTGTTCTTCAGTGTTAAGGGTGTGCCAAAGGTGACACACCCAGGTTTGGCGTGGCAAATCTCTCTCTCTCTCTCTCTCTCTCTCTCTCTCTCTCTTTTATTCAGAAGGGAAGTAATTCCATTCAGCTGAGCTATTCTCCCTTGAAGGCAATCATTGCCTGAGCACTAGCCCCAGTAGGTATAATAGTCCTCTGCTCTGTCCCAAGGACAACACAAAGGATCTGTTCAGTCCTCAGTGTAAGCTCGTATTCCCCTGCTGTGTCTCCTACCGGGTTGCCAAGGTTACCGAGACTGTGGAGTCTCCCACCAAGAGTACAAGAGTACCTCTCAGGCACACTGTGAGTTCTCCCACACACCCTCAGTTTTTTTTTTTAACAGTCCCAGTTCATAAGTTCCACACATTCACTAGGTCTTAACCTCCTGTTATTTCTCCCCATGAGAGTCAGGTTTTTCTGCTTGGCTGAGGGTGGGCACAGCCCTGAGCTTGTGCAGCTGTTATGTATGTCCAAAATGACGCCTGCTGTAATGTTTTCCCCACCTTTGTGAGGTGAGTGGAGAGAGAGAATTTGTCCGTCCCGGTCCCTTTTTTTTTTTTTTCTCTCCTCTAGTTAGGTTGGTGTACTTTCCCCTATGGGACTTCAAGCCTCGTTCCCTCTAGACTCTTCCTGCCACTTTTCTGCCAGTGTCTCCAGCTACTGTGGTTTCACCTCACCTCCCTTTCCAGCACTGGGGTCCCAAGCCGTGGGCACCCGTGCCCTCCACATACATCCACCGTGTCCCACTAGTTCCAGAAGAGTTTCCTCTGCAGTTTTTCCCTAACTCTTCCCTGAAACTACAGTATCTCCACTTTTATTAAATTATCTTTTCCCATACTATCAGCTCCCTCCCTCCCTATTCCGCCATCTTGGAGCTCTCCCGTGTAATCACTTTTTATTCCTATCTAACTACAACTTAGTATCCATTAATCACCTTTCCCTTTTCCTTTCTCTCCCCTACTTTTGCTAGCCTCTTGTAACCACCGTTGCACTTTTAACTTCTATCAGATCACATTTTCTCAATTCCACATAATATATGACCTCCAGTTCCATCTGTGTTGTTGCAAATTACAAAATGTGATTCTTTTTAAAGACTAAATAATATGTCATTATGTATATTATGTATATGTTGCACATTTTCTCAATGCATCAGTTAATGGGCACTTTTGTTTCCCCTTTTATTGGCTATTGTGAATACTGCTGTAATAAACATGGGAGTACAAATCTCTTTTTTAAAAAATGTTTTTTTTTTCACTCAGCATAATGTTTTCCAAATTCCTAACAGGGATCACATTTTGTGGGGAGCAACTCGGACTAGACTAAGTTACTGGAATTAAGACTTATTCTATGCATCTGCTCTCCCACAATATGGTGCTGAGAAGGGAGTAAACAACTTCTACACAGCTGCCTCTCGCCAATTTGATTGACTGAGCTGCAGGAGCTGATCTTGCTCCTGATTGGAGAAGAGCAGCATGCTCGGCGTGTGGGTAGCAGAGTTGGGATTGGTGGAAGAGGACTATAAAGGAGGAGAGAGACAACATGCACCAGGAACATCTAAGGGGAACATCCAAATAACATCTGAGCAGCCCCCGAGAGAGCCGGCCAGCGGTGTGCCGCTCCCCCGCGGAAGTGGGGAAAGTGGCAGGGGGCTCCGCCCTTCCACGGAGGTGGAAGGATTGGCAGCCAACCCGGGAAGGACCATCAGCAAACCCGGGAAGGGCCGAGCAGACAAAAGAACAGCGCAGGGTCCTGTGTCGTTCCTCCGCGACTGGGGGAGCGACAACATTTCAGTTAAAATTTAAACACCTGAGAATAATTGTGTGATATGTTATCCCTCTTAGTATTTTTTGTTTGTTCTACTTAATACTTTTGGTTGAATACTGTAATCAATACACAATTCCTCTTAAGTGCTGAAACTTAACTGAAAAGTGATCGCTGTTAAATATAAGAGTGGGAATAACAGAGGGAAGAGATGCACAATTCGGGACATGCTCAAGATGACTTACCCCAAACGGTAGAGTTAGAAACATACCAGGGGATTCCAATTCAATCCCATCAAGGTGGCATGTACCAATGCCATCTCACTAGTCCCAGTGATCAATTTCTGTTCACAATTGATCGTAATGATAGGACTAAGAACCAAAGGGATCACATAAACAAGAATAGTGTCTGCAAATACTAACTGATAGAATAAAAAAGGGAGAGAACGATCCAACATGGGAAGTGAGATACACAGCAGACCCATAGAATGGCAGATGTCCTAAACAGCACTCTGGCCTCAGAATCAGCCCTTAAGGCATGCGGATCCGGCTGAAAAGCCCATGAGAGTATTTCAGGCATGGAAAGCCAAGACACTCTGGCAAAAAAAAAAAAGACCTAAATGAAAGATCTCTATGAGTGAGATTCCAGTGGAAAGAACAGGTCTTCAAAGAAGGAGGTACCTTTCTCTGAAGGGAGGAGAGAACTTCCACTTTGACTACGACCTTGTCTAAAAATTATCAGAGTTAGTGAACTCAGGGGGCTTCCATAGCCTTGGCAGCTCATGACAAGAGCCTAGGTTGATTACTGATGCCATAAACAAGAGTGTCAATTGGTAAAGTCAACAACAGGAGTCACTGTGCACTTACTCCTCATGTAGGATCTTTGTCCTTAGTGTGCTGTACATTGAGATTTAATGCTATAACTAGTACTCAAACAGTATTTTTCACTTTATGTTTCTGTGTGGGAGCAAACTGTTGAAATCTTTACTTAATGTATGCTAAACTGATCTTCTGTATATAAAGAGAAACGAAAATGAATCTTGATGTGAATGGAAGGGGAGAGGGAGTGGGAAAGGGGAGGGTTGCGGATGGGAGGGACGTTATGGGGGGGAAGCCATTGTAATCCATAAGCCGTACTTTGGAAATTTATATTCATTAAATAAAAGTTAAAAAAATGTTTTTTTTT